TGTTTACAGCCCTTGCGAGCTCTGCGCCTTTAATTCTCTTTCCACTTGCGGCGGCCTTGATTTGCGGCTGCACCTTTGAACAGGACCGCAATGTTAGCAAACTGCCCTTCAGTATGGCAGGTGGTTGGTGCTCGCCACCGGTGCAATCGCCTTAATTGTGTCCGCCAATTACAACTTGCTTCCCTTCCACGTGTCAAATGCACCCCTCGTCTCTACACCCTCTTGACATGACCAACTGACCACTCCATCATGCCACAACAATCTAAATTTTCACGGCACATTACGGCTTTGTCCAGTGGCAAACAACATTGCCTGCTTTAAATATTTCCTTTTTTATAAGAAATACCTGTTGCCTGTTGCTATATAAATAAATTTTTTTAATATCATTTCGATCAAATTTATTTTTGAGCAGATTCAAATGCTAAAAAAAAAAAATATATATTTTTTTTTTAGATTTCTTAATTTCAAATTAACATTGCCAATATTTAAACATTTGAGATTTTTTAAAGTGTTTTTTAAAGCGTATAAACAAAAGGATAATTCGTGATTCAATATGAAAGAAAATACATTTAAAAAATATAATTTTTTTTTGGAATTTAGATTTTGATTCTTGGTTGATGTAAAACTGGGCCTTCATCAACCACAAAATTGTTTTGATTGTAAAAAATGATGGAAAAAAGGAACTTGGCAAGTCTAATTTTTTTTAAATTCTTCAGCTAGCAAAAGCCCGAGTGATCTTTCTTGGATTTTTAATTCCATATCAGCCCATTTATTGCCTTCAAATGATCAGTAATTTTTTGCCCACTTCATCGTACCCACGCAAAACTGATAATTGAGAGTAGCTAATAAATTATTAATATTATTATTTCCCTTGAGGTTTTCTTTAAGGTAAACACATTTCAATTTTGCTTCTTCGAAATCTTCCAACAAATCAGAATCTTTCAGTATTTAGTGTAGTGGGCAGCGAGTTTTCTTATTTGTTTTGCAGGATGCATACTTGAATCTTTAAAGCTGCTTACCCTCTGGGAAAACTGAGCCGATTGTGATTGAAAATAAGAAATGAAATGGAAGCCTCAAAAGCTATAATCTAAATCGAAACCTCGCGGTCATAAAAAATAGATCATTAACATCAAAAAGCTATGCAGGAAAATTCAATGAATTTTTCGGTGTGTTGCGCGGGTTGCGTAACAGGAACACAGGAAATTAATATAAATTTAATTATGGTGATTTGAATTTAAAATCGGCTTTTCCTCGATGGGTTTTTGTGAGTTGTTTATTGTTTCAGAAAAAACAATATCCTGCTCTACATGTTTCGGCTGCGGGCTGCAGCCATAATTCATGAGCTGCGAAAACATTTTGACAAAAATTAGTACAAAAATAAATCTTTTTTCAAAAATTATTTTTCTTTCAAATTGACAATTTTCCGTGAAAAAATATTTAAATTAACATTTCTTCACAAAATAATTTTCAACACAAAATTTGACATTTAATTCAAAATATTTAAAAAAAAAAACATAAATTTTCTTTTAGTAATTTTGGTCAGAATATTTAAACGTGTGTTTTGAGCGTACTTTTCTCGGCGGTGGTCGAGAGAAGACTAAATTATTTTTCGGTTGGTTTTTCGGGTAAAAGATATGTTTTGGGATTGCATTGTATTCACTCGTCGCCACTGCTATAAATAACTCACAAAAACCCATCGAGGAAAAGCCTATTTTAAATTCAAATCACCATGAATCAACCCTCGATTGTGAAATTCTAGCACTAAATTTAATTAATTTGATGCTCAATTTTTGATAATTGAAAGTTCTTTTTTTATGTATTGTAGAATAAAACACTGCTTTTGCAAGCAAAGCATAAACCATAATATTTAGCAACCGACGTTTTGCTTCCTAACTTAATATTTATGGGAGACGAAAGAAAGCAGCTTACTGAAATGCCCTGTTAGCCCCTCGGACGATGGGGCAACGATCAAATCCACCCACCCACACGCATTGAGTGGCCTGAAATCGGCCGAGGCAGGGGTTTCCAAGTTCCATTACTATATTGGGGCACGTGGCTCTCTCTCTTTTCCATCGCCGCCATAAATCATCTAAATACAGCATAGCTAGTTCTGCTGCTGCAGATCGCGGCACACGAAATCCCATAAATTAAGGTTGAACACCGCCGAGTGCATTTGCACACACACACGTGCCCAGGCTTTTCCGGGAAACTCCCAAAAGCGTGCATGATGATTGCGTTCATAAATTCTTTGATGCCAACTTGAACGTATGTGCCTTCAATAGCTCAAGTTATTATCATATTTCGGGCAAAACTTTCTTGACGAAATTTCATTATAATTCAAATTTATTTCCAACTTTATACATTCTTCATTGATCCTCATTATTTTCAAGCAAAATAATCGAATTCTCTGAAGAGAAGCAAAATTTTCCAACTCATTAAAACCAAACAAAACAAGGAAAATAACACGTCGATGACAGACTATTTCGTCTCTAATTATAAAGAGAAGTTTGCATGAAGACGCGACAGGCTAAGTTGGGCAAATAATTAAACAAGAGTTAATTAGCGCGCGAGTTACGCTCAATTTGATGAGCTCGACTTTGCGCGTCTTATCAAGCTGTCATGAGACTCGCCTCTGATTATAAATTCAGCAAACACGACCTTGCCTCACACGCATGTCGCCTTGTGAAAGCGGACGGGGTTTATACTTTAATATTAATTATATTGAATGGGGGTGTTTGAGTTGTTATTTTATTCTGGGTTTGATATAGCGTAAATTTAAGTTTAAAAATATGTCAGGATAGGAATTCTCAATTTAAGCAAACCCCGAAAACCAAACCGCTTTGCGCGCGAATCTATAAAGACTTATAGGAGCGATTATTTATTTTCACGGACTTCTATTTTCTGTATATCTCAGCTGAGCAGGTAAAAGGGAAAGTGAATGGACAACCTTTTTCATTCATTCGGTGCCCGTCCGAAAGAGCGAGGGGAGTAAAATGCGCCTGTATATCTTTACGACTCCCGAGAGTACGCACCCTGGCAGGTGCCTCTATTATATGATAAAATATTTATAAATAAATATTTCGGCGCTTTGTATCAATAAAGGTACCCTAGTACAGAATGCGTACCTACTCCAATAAGTACTTCATAGAAACACACTTTCAGGCCTGGCCATAATGAGCGAATTTATTTATATTTACCTTTTTATTTATATTTATCTTAAATCTCTTATTGGATTGATTTATTAATTAAAATCTATTTTCTTCTATTTGAATAGTCTACTATTATTTATTAAAATTATGTCTAGGTTAGATTTGTTTTCATTTAAACAAAATATTTTAAGTTTTTGAGAACGAAGAAAAGTATAATTATTTTTATTTTATGTAATCAAAAATTAAACGATACACCAAAATTTAAATATTATAATTTTGTTCCACTGAGTTTTATGATTTTCGTAAATTAAAAATAATCAATTCTGTATTTAATGAAATAGAACTAAACCAAGGTTCCTTAAAATCGTAATACAACCGAGAGAGAGATTTTTGTCCTTAAAACGTAACTTAAATTCGTAAAGGCTTGCGGACTGCTTTGGAGCGACAGTCTTTTCAATTAACTTTAACTGAAACTTAAACTCTAAGAGAATGAACTTTTTCTTTCCAAATTAAAATCGAATAAAAACAAGCCGTCGGTACAACAGTAAATGGGCACAAATTAGCGTAAAATAACTCTAACCTTAGCTCCTGGCTCAGAGCGCGGCGTGGATGAATGCCTTTCGGGTTGGAGTATTTTCTCGTCAAAAGATCAGCCACAACTTTTGATTCAGCTAATTTGAGTCAAATGGTCCTGCACTCTCGACCTGCGGAAGGTGAAGTCTGACCTTTCGTTTTACTTTTTGGCTCAGATCGGTTTGACGAGAAAATAAACTCCTCCTTATCTAACTAAATAGACCAATGAGCGCCTTAAAAATATCCTTATATTTTTTAACATAAAGAAATTTGTCCCGCGTCGCCCGCGCGACAACAAAAAAACAACATATAACAAAGGACACGGCGCGGCTCGAACGGAGAGCCCGCGCGCAGCTTTTTTTCTCTCGGCGCATAAAATGCTATGCTACTGCTAAACTCTCTCTCTCTTCATATGCGTGAAATACATTGATACATAATACATTAAGTAATTTAAAACTACAAAATAAAAATTAAAGAAAATCAAATTAAATATAACCCCATATAATTCACATCCCTCTTCTTAAAATAGAGTTGGTCATTTGTGAACAACGAAATTTTCGAAAAATAAAAATTATTGAAAATATAATTAAATATAACCAATAAAAATTCACTCTTTTCCTGCCAACAGAAAAAAATCATAAAAATACAACATTTTTATGTATTAAAACAATGGCGACAAAAAGCGTGTGATATAAATTTTCTTCTTTTTCCGACTCATGAAAAAGTTAATAATTGTAGCACTTCACTGCACTTAAAATATGTGAAAAACTAAATTTAATAATAAGAACCTTGAACATAATATAACTATTTGGAGGAAAATAGGGGAAATAGGAGAAACTCAATATTTTAGTGTTTTATGAGCCTGAGCACTCGCAAAAGGGGGGATGCAGAGCGAAGGGTAGTTTTCGTGGTGGACCATTTCGGCTGCTCAGGTCATTCGTTCGTTGAATTTCTTGCACTTCACAACTCGAAATGTCTCCTAGCAAGATCGCACCTCTCGCCGATGACCGGGTCATTGTTTTTATGGGGATCGAAGCCTCTCGGTACACCACCGACGTCGTCGTGTTCCACTTGAAATGCGCCGGGTATTTGCATGGTGAACACCAAAAGCACGTAACGGACCTGAAGACCAAGTTGGTGTTTCGCCGGCACGAAGGAAAGGTCATGTTGCAGCTGAACGGTGGGTCGAATCACTTTGAAGCCACCCTGGAGTCGTTCTTCGGGGAGCTTAGCGACATCTTTGCTGACCTCTGGATCACTCGCGGCCGACCTCAAATATATTGCGATTCCGGAGTGACTGCAGCACTCGTCCAGTTGTACACTGCGAGCCGACCTGTCGCCTATCGGCGGGTGTTGCCGAGCGACGTCACCAGCGGAAAATGTATTTTTCACGAGATGGAATTTTGTCGTCGGCGCGCCGCGCTGTCCAAGTGGATGCGGGACGGTGGCGCGTTCGTTCGGCCGGCGGCGCTCCAATGGAAAACGCACCAGCGAGGCGGCGTCGTCAACTTAATCATGCCCATGATGGACGTGTTTAAGTCATATCTTCCCAGGAGCACCGCTGACTTGTCCTTCGGAGGTTACGACACCGGCTTCTTTCCTCGGTCACCGATGGAGACTGCTAAGCTGATGGTCGGATGCTGGCGTTATCTTCATGACAGTAAGTTACATACAAAATACAAATTGGAATATCAAATAATACATAAATATTTTTTCTGTTTTCAAATTATAATAAAAATAATAAAAAAAATTTTCCTTTCCAAAAAATTAACATATAAACCATTTGTATAAAAAACTCAAACATTTTTTTTTTTTTGTAAATATAATAAAATTGAAAATACATGTAAATTTTTTTCTTATTTTAGTTGTGCCCACCATTCCTGCCCCGATGCTGCAGGATCAGATCTTGAAGAACTTGGCGCAGAAAAACGGAGATGACCTACAGTCTGCTTGCTTGGCCCTCGTCTCCAAACTGTGCAGTTTGCTGACGAAGAAGCGGGAGTCCTTCCGGTGCCAGTTCACGATTGGCGAAGGTGAGCTTCCATTTTCCACTTTCACGGAAACTTGAAGTTAACATATCCTATTGGTTTTGTTGCAGAAACGCTGACACTCAAATTTCCCGATGTCCCTGAGGTGGAACAACGAGACGCCGCTCAGTCCGGCTCGGTGGAAAAGGTGGACTGCGCTTCGCAAACGTCCGAAGACAGCGAAGAGGCTGACTGCTCACCACAGGACGTTGGCGGACTTCAGGGCGCCCAGGGTCATCCTGCTGGTTTCGGATTCCCGACACCTCCATGGGGCGCGTATGGGCCAATGTGGGCTCCGTATATGTATACCGCTCCGATGATACCAATGTATATGGGGGGTTTGGGTGTCAATACACAAGGTTGTTCTTGTTCTTGCGGCAAGGCTGCTGGGGTGGGTACACAAAAGGGTTGCACTAAGTGAAGCTGAGGGTGGGAAAACACACTGTACTCATGGCTCCTTAGAGAATAAAAACTTAATGTTGAAATGATAATAAGTGTTTTTTTTGTTCTTTTACATTTTTGTAGTTTTAACAAAAGCAAAAAGTTACAAACAAATATAAAATATAAATTAAGTTTAATGCTCATTGGTCTATGATTAAAAATATTCTTGATTCGCTAATAACGAAAAATTAAAATATTGTGCCCAAGAAAAAAAAATTGAAGTTCATACCTGAAAGATAGAAATATTAGTAAAAAGCAGATGGATTAATTTTTTTGTTTTTTAACTTTTATTTCTCAAAAAATAAAAAATAAAATTGGAAAATTTTGTACTCATTAAAGTGAAAATTTTAATTTATACGCAATTAAATAGTGCCATAAGAGAGAAAAAAAATTTGGAAAAATAATTGGACTCTCTTTATATTTAAATTTACTATAAATGAACCTTGTCTTTTTTTAAAAAATAATGAAATATTTAATTTGCGAGAAAAAAAACTGATTAAAACAAAATAAAATTTAATCCCATAAAAATGATTAGGAAAAACAAATTGTTTGTGTTAATATATTCATAAAAATAATAATTTCATCGGCGCGTTTAAAAATTAATTAAATATTTAATTATTTTATGGATATTAATTATCTCTTCTAAAAAAAAACTGAAAAAATTGACAAGGTATTATTATTATTTTTTATTTTAAAGAAGCCGAAGCTCATTACTTCGCTTGCGCTTAGCCGAAGATTTTCGTGAAGGATCAAAAGAGGACAAAGTGTGTACGTTTTGACAAAGAGGAACGTAAGCTTCGCTAGAATGGTTTAACTCCGCCACCATCTCGACTGTCGAGTGAGAATTATTAAATAGAACGGGTGCTTCCGGAGAAAGTACACATCTTTGTAAAGTTTGTCCTCGTGAATTAAAAAGGATTTGTCTGAATTTCTTTGATTTGATTAGAATGATTGAAATGACAGTTGTTATTAAAAGAAAAACAATCCAAACTATAGTTTGAGTGGGAGATACATAATCAGCATACCAAGAGTCATTTTCTGAATTATGAATTTTATTTATTTCATGCAATAAATTTTCTATACGGAAAGAGTAGTAAGAATTTAATCCTGAGTCATTATGAAATAAATCATTTAATTTTTTCATGTTGCTTGTGGAAAAATTTGTCAATTTAGAATTAATTTGACTGACAACTGGAAAATCAATTATTTTTGGGAATTCAATTTTAGATTGGAAAGTAAAATTACCTACATCTATGGAAGCGCTACCGTAAAGAACAAAGTTGTTGCTGTGCACCGTGCAAGACTGAGGAACGTGCAAAATACCAACACCGCTGATTGAATCTGGAATTAAAGTTTTTTCTGACATGTCGTCACACAGTTTATTCAAAAATATTGTTTTTTCGACTGAAAAAATATAAATTGAATCTGGTGTTGGGCGATAAAAAACTGGCTTGAAATGTTTCATTGCAATAATGGGGCAGACAGATTGAATATTTTCTATTTTGCCAGTGAGAAGTTGAAAGAGGCAATTCGGCTCAGTTCCTTTCCGAACTGTTTGGATAGGCAAACAAATTTTTATTGTGTGTTGATCGCACTCATTATACTCAATGTGTGACATGGTAAAATAATGATTAAAGTCTTTAGAAATTGCAATTAATTCTGAAAAGGGTTTGATTTGATAAAAAATGTCAGAATTATTTAATTTTGTCGGCAAAGAATTTGGCTGATAAACAGTAAAAATCTTATTTTTGTCAAAAATGGGAAACTGAACGAATAAAATTAATTTGCCATTAATTTCGAATGCATTAATTTTTGCCAAATTATATAATTTATTCAAGTTGTCATGATGGGCAAATGACAAAATTTTGTTGCTACTTGTCATTTTATTTTGAACTTCGTGAATTATTTGAACGAGCTGTTCCTGTGGTAAAAAGTAAGGGTCTAGAATATTAATTGACGCAAAAAGAAAAGCTTGCTTGAGTTTTAAAATGTTTTCTTTTAAGTTATCATAAAAATTATGAAATTGCTTTAGGTATGCGAAATTTAGAAATTCTTTTGTAAGATCATAAACCATTATTTCCGTTCTTTCAATTTTGCCCTCTAAGTAAGAAATCATTGTTCCTAAATGATTAATTTCTCTCAGCATTTCCTTGATTTGAATATCTTCCTTTTTCATTTGAGACATCGTGAAATTATAAACAGATAATTGGTCTTTAAACAAATGCACTAGTTCTTTTTCGTTATTTTTCAAATCTTGTACTTTTAAATGCAAATTATTTAAATTTTTAGTAGTTGCAGTGCCAAAAAGAAATCGTAAAGCTTCACCGACTCCGTCAAAAAGATAACGTTTCGTTCGACCGGTGGAAAAGTTATTAATAGAAATTGCAATTTCATCAAGCAAATTTGTAAGAGAAGTTATTCCACGTAAGAGATGTTGTTCTTCATTTAAAAGCCAATTTTGTAAGTATTGTGGTGACGGTTTTTTAATGCTGGAGAAAAATTTAGAGATTGAACTATTAAATGTTGAAATTGTGTCCGCATAGTGATTCAAGTTAACATCTATATGTACGTACCAGATGTCCGAGGAGAGCATAATTTCTCCTTTTTCAGAGAAATAAATACCTTTCTGTAGCTCATTCTGCTGAACAGCTAATGTGCCTCCAAAGATGAAGAGAAGAAAAATGAAAATCATTTTTCTGCTGAAATTTAAACTTTTTTAATTAGTTTGTAATTAAATTTAATAATATCCAAAAACGCTAATTTGTTCCACAAAAGGGAGAAATGTTTAAGAAAAATTATTTCAAATTAATTTAAATTTATTTAAAAAGTGAAAAGATAAAATAAAAGTGAGATGAATTATTATTATAAAAATTTTTTTTGAAAATTAATTATATTCTGCCCTGGAATAAATTAAATTTTTTAATATGATGCCCACGACTTCTAATGGGATATCTTGCATCATTAGGTTGTTGACCTTGTTGATTACTACCTGAGGTAGAGGCTGATGTACCTGCCTTTGATGATTTTTTTGTAGATTTACTTATACCTGCTTTGCTTTGTGCTGTATGGGTCGGCGGCTGATTTGGTACGCTGCCTCGCGGGGCTGCATTTGCAAGAGGGGGAATATTTTTTTGTGCTACTTCGGCGGGTGCGTTTTGATGTAAAATCGGACTTTTATGCCAATCCATAACTTTATGTTCTGGATTTTTATTAATACTACTCGGGGCATTTGAATTTTGATTTTCTCCCCTTTCTGGTTTAAATACTTGATCTAAATTCCTGACAATTTCATCTATTTGATTATCATTAACTAATTGAGGTTGTTGATCGTTTGGTAATACATCGTCCTCATCGCTGTCGCTTGAAAAAATTTGTTGAATTTTATGCGGTTTAAAATCTGGTGAAACAGTTTGTAATTTTCTGTTTTGTTTTTGAATATTTTCATTTTTTCCGTCATTTTGATTTTGATCAATTTTTTGATCAATAATTTGATTATCCACTTTTTTCATAATTTGATCATTAAAATCAATTAAATCATCGCCATATACTTGATTTAATCCATTTTCTTGATCATTATTTTGAATAAAATCTTCAATTAAAGAATTGTCTTGATCATTATTTATTACATCATTATGGTTTTGCATATTATGAGGGTAAACTCTTTGATATAAATTATTATCTCTTAAAATTTGATGTAAATTGAGTGGATATCCTGTTTCAAAATCAGTCGAGTCCTCTTTCGACCGATTACTCTCTCTCTGTTCTTTTTGTTTTGATACTAGCTCTTGCCCATTTAGTAAGTACCTATTTTTTAGTTCATTCTCTTCAGATTCAAAAATACTGATTCTTTCTGGAGCTTTTTTTAATCTATCAATATGTACTGTTTGTTTATCCTTTCCATAAATTTCTTTTATTGTAAAATTTGGATAATTATTTTCTATAATTCTATAAGGTCCTTTATATTTTTCGGTAAGGGATTTTGAAGTTCCTTGCTTTTGAACTAAATTACGTAAATAAACTATATCTCCTATTTGTAATTGACGAGGCGCTGTTCGTTTATTATATTGGTTTTCCTGTGATTTTTGGCTTTTAATTAAATGATTTTTTATTAAATTAAAAGAATATTGTGCTTGTTTAACCATTAAATTTCTGTAATTTGTGTCATAATTATAAAAAACTCTTGAGTTGGCTGGATCTGTTAAGATATCAAATGGAAAAATTGGATCTCGGTGAAAAAGAGCGAAAAAAGGAGTTTCGCCGGTACTGCTGTGTTGTGCCGTACAATAACTGAACGCAACAAAGGGAAGGAAAGAGACCCACTCTTTTGGTTTATCCAAACATAGAGTGGCTAGAATTTGTTTAATGGATTGACCTGCTCTTTCAACCAAACCATTCGCGCTTTGATGATATGCGGCGCAAATCCCTCTATTTACTCCTAACATTTTACATAGTTCCGTAATAACTTCTCCGATAAGATTTGCGCCTTGGTCGCTAATTAAGTTTGAACAAACTCCGTGCCGCATAAATACATTTTTCACTAAAGCATCGGCTATTGTAAATGCTTGTTGATCTTTCATTGGAATTAATTCTAAATATTTTGTAAAATAATCAATTACAATAAGAATGTAAGAAAAATCTTCACTAGGGGGGTTAATTTTTCCGAATATGTCAAAATGAAGAGTATCAAAAACGCCATAATTTCTCTTATAACCAACTAAAGGCGTGTGTTGCAATCTTTTATTTAATTTAACTTTATTACAAATTACACAACTTTTACAATAATTTTCTACGTCTTTTGCCATAGAATTCCAATAAAATTGAGATTTTACTTTGAAAAGGGTTTTTTCAGCGGATAAATGACCTGCAAAAGGGGAATCATGTAATTTATGTAAAATTTCATTTATCATAGATGGAGGTGCTACTATTGTTGCATGGCCGCGTAAATTTTGAGGCGAACGGTATAATATTTTTGCATTGTCTAAAAAGAATTCTGAAAAATATAAACCTT